CCATGAGTTTTTGCTTCATTTCTCCAAGTTGCCCTTCCAGCTCCACAGCTCCTGATGGTAGCTCCTGGCCGCCAAACACTGAACACAAGGCAGCCATTAGCCGTACCGCTCCACGACTCCCCCAACGTCCTTGTAGCTCCAAGCAGCTCCATCCTCAAATGGTGGACCTCCACACGAGACACCATCCTCACTTCAGGGGCCGCCACTGTGAACTCCACCCGACCACTCGGAGGTGAGAAACATCCTGGATCCTCCCTTGCCGTTTGAGGTGATGTACACATCTCAACTGTCCCGAGTTTGTAACCACCGGTTCTATGCTGACTGACCCCTGTTGGCGGACAGGTGGACCAGTTACTCCAGCAGCACGAACCTTGTTTTGTCTGGTCTGCATGCTTCTTCTCTGCCTCCCACTGGCCTGGATCCCACCACTCACTGCCACCAAATGTGGGGAAGCTGGCCAAAGTGGTCGAAGTAGGAGGCAGATGACACACAAACAAGGGTGTCTTACTAGGCCTGTAACGATAATCAATAAATCGATTAATCGTACGGTAACTTTTAACGAGCTCGGTAACTTTTCCAGCCAACATAAATTCTATTTGCATGCTTGTTTGTTTTCCCCGCTCTCTCTCGCTCTTTCTTGCCCTCAAAGAGACTGAATGTTAGAAGGTTTCTATCGCTCTCTGATTCCTCTCGTTTAACAAGCTTAATGACGCTTGAACCAAATGCGCGCGTTGTCTGAGTGCAGAAACACAAGCTAGCGTGCCGCTGTGCGGAGTGACAAAACAAGTCACGATGCCGAATCAACACGAGTGAACGGGACACGTGTCAATAGCCACATGCGTCAAATGCAGCGAGCGCACAAATGACGAGAGGAAATGTCTCAAACCCCAACAGCCAATATAAACCCAAACCCGAGCGACAGAACTAGCCTAGCACCCGGGAGAACCCCAAATCGAACCGAAACGACACCAGACAGGACAGAGGCTCCCTCATAGAGAAACAGCATCCTGTGTCGCAGGTTAATACGAACATTTAAATGACCAAAATGACGAGTCTCACAGCAGCAGCCACAGAGAGAAGAGACACATTATTCCAATATAAGTAAATCACTAAAATAACTTTTAAGGACAAGTTTGTTACAGAAACTTAATAATCCATTTTATTTAATGCTTTGTGTAAGGTCCAAACATTTGTGAAGCCATAGTTGACGCTTTGCGCACCTTGTCCCACCTTTTAAAATGCCTCAAAAATAAAAGAATCCACGGAAAGCGATCCAAGTGCCGTTTAAAAACTCTTCACTGCGGATTCACATTATAGGACATACAGATACAAACAAAAAGGGGAACTTTAACATATAGGTGACAGGAGATCAAAAAACTGTTTGGCTCCACTCCACCCTCTCCTGGTGCACCTGCACACATCTTAAATAGGGAGCCGTAGACCACAAAATAATACAAAAAATTAAACATTACATAAGTAAACTTATGATTAACATTAGCAATAATTAAAGAAAAAATATAAATAGATCAAATTGCTTTGTAACAAATAATCAACAAATAATCATGTTAACCATAAAGAACCACCAAAATACCAAAAATCATGCATTTTAAGTAAACATTAAATCAAACAAAATAAGAATAATTATCTCAATAATGAAAAAAACTACAAACTGGGTTTAGGCTCCCACATTACCGGCCCCTAATTGTTAACTAGTTTACTGTAACAATTATCAAACAGATTAATTCATTAAAGGGAGCCTACAGTAGCATATAGACAAAACAAGTCTAAACAGTCTATGCATATCACAGCTCATGTTTCTTGAGCTTCTAGTAAAAGACACAGTTTGGTGTCAAAGCTCTGAGGTTTTAGTCCATACTTTAACTTGGCGGACAAGACCTCTTCTGTCTGGGAAAGTCTCTACCACCTTTCCTAGTGGCCATGAGTTTCTGGGTGCTGTATCGTCCACAATCAACACCACTAGAGCCCGGCCGATATTATCGGCCAATATGGGCACCTGGAGACATATCAGCTATCGGCCGATATGCTTGCTGATATGGGCCGATATTTCACGTGGGCATGTTATACCTCGTTATAAAGCTTAGACTCTCTACATTATGTTCATTTAATCCAATTTACAGACAGATAAATGTCCTAATATGTGGCTCCGCATCAGTATTTATCTACGGTGTAATTTGTCTGTGTCTGTGTCCGTACTGTCCCTGAACACACCACCAGAGTGACGTCACTTCACTCGCGTGTGTTTGTTTACAAACGCAGTGGTGCGCAACACTGAGATTATATTCTTTTTCGGACAATCGGTTTGAGTCTGGATTAAAATGACATTTATTAGTGCAGACTTGTGATGTGAGGGAGGAGCCTGTGTGAGCGGTGAGTGTTGGAAATACATCGACTTTGAAGCTAGTTTAGGTTTTGTTAGCGATTAGCTGCTGTAGCTCCCACACATAAACAGGCCTGTTTTCTATTGGTCTATTGTAAAGTGATTATATTGGCCGTATATTTGCTACTGGACCAGCATTGATATGTAAATGAGCTGTGAATAGACGTGTGAATGATTCACATTTATGCATATATTTAATTACCGCGGTGCGCAAGTTTTTACGGCTAAAGGCTAATAGCGCTAGTTTACTAGCTAGGAGTTGCGGGCTCTTTGAAGTGAACAACCGGAGCATGTTTCTTATTGGGAGCCGTGTTTTCTCTTTTTCTCACTTTTTCTCTTCAAGTCCGCATGTAGACCCGTAGTTTGACAGCAGCAGCGGCTGAAAACGAAACTTTCAGAAATCTGCGTGTGCATAGGATAAAAAAAAGGTGCATAGGATAAAAAAAGGTGCATATTTGGCTGCAGTTCAGCATAAAATGAATAAACCAGGACTAATCTTGGGCTCGAGTGAAGAAGAAAGATAGAAACCGAGTCCCGACACTCAGTCCTGGTTTAGTCCTGCTTGCAACAAAACAATGTCAAGAGTCGCTTGGGAGCCGAAAGAGCCAGCTGCTTTAGTGAGCCGAGCCGGTTCTCCAAAAAAAAAAAAAAAACTGGAATACCCATCACTAGCAGTGACAGTAACAGTAGCTAGAATGTGATGCAAAAATGCCATTAGGCCAATCTACTGTATGTAAATATGATGTAAAGAGTCAAAATAACAACAAATGTTGCCTAAATAAACCCAATTTAGAATCCACTAGAGCCAAAAGTTTTTTAATCAATTCAAGATTTACAGTGAATTTTACATCACTAAATATATCGGCAGCCCCAACTCCCATTATATCGGTTTCATATCGGCCACAACAAAATCCATATCGGTCGGGCTCTAAACACCACGTCACCAATATGAAGATTCTGTCCAGTTGTGGACCACCTCTGGTGTTCTTGAAGTTGGATGAGGTATTCTTTACACCAGCGTTTCCAGAAAATATCTGCCAGATACTTGTTTCCATCTTCTTCTGACATACTGATCTTCCTTGTTGAAAACACCAGGGGGTAATGATGGTTTAGTTTTAAGCAGAAGAAGATAATTGGGTGTTAAGGCCTCTAAATCATTCAAATCTGAAGAAGCTCTGGTAATGATGATGACCGCTTCCACTTCACACAACAGAGTCTGTAGGCCTTCTTCCTCCAACGCCTGCTCCTTCATTGTCATGTTCAGTATTTTTCAAACAGAGCGTATCAGCCTCTCCCAGCTTCCACCATGATGCGAACCTGCCGGGGGGTTGAAATGCCAAACAATCCCCTTTTGCTGGAGATTCTTTGTGATCCGGCTGCTATTCCACTGCTGCAGGGCCAGCTTCAGCGATGTGTCTGCTGCTCTCAAGTTGGTGCCATTATCAGAGTACATCTCTTTCACTTGTCCTCGTCTTGCCACAAATCTTTTGACTGCGTTAAGACATGCGTCTGTGTCCAAAGAAGATGCAAGCTCAAGGTGGACAGCTCTTACAGCGAGACATGTGAAGATGACTCCGTACCTTTTTACTTGGGCTCTGCCTCTCCGCACCAGGAAGAGACCAAAGTAATCCATGCCAACTTTGGTAAAGGGCGGGTCATCAGGGAGCAGCCTGCATTTAGGTAAGTCAGCCATTAACTGTTTTCCAGCCATGCCATGTAATCTTCTGCAAGTGACACACTTTGACAGCAGCTTCCGGATAGCTCCATTAGCTCCAGGAATCCAAAACTTCTCTCTCAGTTTTGCCAACATGTGATTTCTGCCCGCATGAGCTGTAGTTTCATGAACACTTCTCAACACCAGAGTGGCAACATGGGACTGTTTAGGCAGAATAACTGGCTGTTTGGATTCAGCTGGCATGGCTGATCGACTCAATCTTCCACCCACTCGCATCACTCCATCCTGAATCACTGGATTGAGCTTGTGTAGCGGGCTACTTCTCTTGACTCTGTGCTGTTCCATTAACATCATTATGTCATCCTTGAAATACTACATTTGAATGTACTTCACAATCATCATCTCCATCCAAATCAGCACATGTCATGTCCTTTCCTTTAATTCTCTTGAAATCCTCCATCCTGTTTTCATCATTTAATGTCCATAGTTCCTTTCTTCTTGCTCTCAGCTCAATCAACAGCGTTTTCAACTTGAGAAACCAGGCGACAACTCGTTTCAGCTTGGTCCAAGAGGAGAAATGAAGCATCAGTCTGTCTGTCGCGTTGTTTAGCCTTTGTGATTGGATAACATGTGTTTGAGCCACTCTTTTTACCTCCAAGTCTTCACAAACCAAAACTCTGGGATCTGGATTTGTGGGCCACAGGTCAGGAGTCTGGAGGATGAAATCTGGTCCACACAGCCAGCTCTCACACCGCAGGAAGGCATCGATTGCTAGTCCCCTGGAAACACAATCTGCAGGGTAAGAGGTAATTTACATACCTCCACTGGGATGGTTGTGAATGCTGCAGGATGACGGTCACACGATTAGCTACAAATGTCTTGAATCTTGCGGTTTCACTGTTCAGATATTTAATGACGGCAGTACTGTCAGTCCAAAAAACAGTCCACAAGCTCCACCTCCAACTCCTTTCTTAGCAGCTTATCCATCTTCACTGCAACTGTGGCTGCAGTTAGCTCCAGCCGTGGGACAGTAGGAGTTTTCAGTGGTGCAACTCTGGCTCTGGCCATCAGGAGAGTGGAATGTGTGTCACTTTTAGAGGTGTGCAGTACCAGGTAGCTCGCTGTGCCATAAGCATCTTCACTCGCATCAGCAAAATGGTGAAGCTGTGCTGAGACGGATGAGCCAAAGAGCCTGGTTTTAATACATCGATCCACTCCAAATCCATCCAGCTGCTTGAGTCCAGAAAGCCACTTAGTCCAGATCTTAATAATGCTGTCTGGCAGCTCTTCATCCCTGGAGTATTTCAAGTGACAGATCTCCTGGAGAAGTCTCTTGGCTGGCAAGATAACTGGAGCGAGGAGTCCTAGTGGATCAAAGATGGAACTGACCAGGGAAAGTAGTCCTCTTCTGGTGTGCGGGCGCTCTTTGATGTTGATCTTAAACTTGAATTTGTCAGTTTCTGCACACCACTGTATTCCCAGGGCTCTCTCTAACGGTAAATAGTCTTGATCCAAATCCAAATCTTGAAATCCGTGAGCTCGTTCACTGGCTGGAATAGTGTTGAGCAGTTTTCGGCTGTTACTTGACCACTTTGTTTTTCTGAAGCCTCCTTTAGCCAGTAATTTGGTCTGGACAGCTGCAAGAGAAATGGCACCATCTTCATCTGTAATTGACTTAATGCAGTCGTCCACATAAAAGTTCTTAAAGATAGTTTTAGCACCTTCTTGGCGGAACTCTTCTCCAAAATCCAAAGCACATTTCTGCATTGCAAATGTGGCTACACTTTGTGACGAAGTAGCTCCAAAAATTTGTACTTTCATCTTGTGTTCCACCAGCTGCTGACTGTAGTCCCCATGAGGCCACCAGAGGAATCTGAGGAGGTCTGTCTCAGAGTCACTCACTTGAACTTGATAAAACATAGCCTCCACGTCAGCCAACATGGCAACCATCTCTTGACGAAATCTTAAAAGTACTCCGATTAATGAACTTGTTAAATCTGGTCCTTGCAGCAGTTCCTGATTCAAAGATGTTCCACCAAAGCTGGCTCCGCAATCAAAAACAACACGCAGCTTTTCTTTCACTGGATGTCTGACTCCATGATGAGGTAAATACCAAATACGTTCATTTTTTGTTTCACTTTCAGCATTTGTAATCTCCTCTGCATAGCCTTTGTCTAGGATGCTGTCCATAAACGCCACATACTCCTTGTAGTAGGCCTCATCTCTAGAAAATCTTCAAATTCAGTAAACGTTGCTCTGCGACGAATCTGTTATTGGGCATGTGCAGCTCTTTATTGGGAGACAAATACTGTAATGTCCATCTTTCAGCTGTGCAGACTGAGACACCATAGAAATAAACTGATGATCATCCTTTGACATTTCAAGCTCTTCTGTTAATCCAGCATCAGGAAAATCTTGTTTAAACTGAAGCTCCCACAGCTCCTCCAATCTAGCAACTGAAATCCTGTTTACAGTCACTTTAGTCCATGTATCAGTTTGCTTGGCCTCTCCTCCGCCTCTGAGCGGTCCATTAATTGTCCAGCCTAATAATGTTCTCACAGCATATGGTCCATCAGCCACACTTTTTACCACCTGAAGTGGTTCCATAGCTTGAGGAACATCTGTTCCGATGAGCAATCCAATGTCAGCATGAATAACAGGGAGCTTTACTTCTTTCAGATGTGGCCAGCAGTTCACATCCTCTTGACGTGGGATATTCTCTTTGCTCACTGGAATCAGCTTTTGTGAGTACACTTCTAATAACTTAATGTAGTTCTCACCATCCAGGCTGCTGATCTCCAATCCATTCACAATACTGGTCTTCACAACAGATTCTCGTCCCATTGTCTTCAGCAAAATGCTGGTATTATGTCCATTCATGTGCAATTCATTAATCAAAGACTCTGTGGCAAAGGTAGCAGTGCTTCCTGGATCCAGAAAAGCATAAGTTGTGACTACATGTGTTCCTTTAATAGCTTTAACACACACTGGCACAATACACAGAGTGCAGTCTTCCTTACCAGCCCCAGTGTGGCTGCGCGCTTCCATGGTCTGCACCAGAGCACTGGAGACTGTTTGCTGCTCGTGGCTTTCATTGTTGTATTCTCCCTCTTTAGGTTTAATGTTCATGTGCAGAAGAGTGGGGTGTGGTCCAGAACATTCCTGACAAGATGCCTTTTCTTTACAACTGTTGCTCATATGTCCATGTTTCAAACAGGCAAAACATAAACCTCTGTGGCGTAAAACCTCGATCTTCTCCTTGTGTGACTTTGTTTTGAGCTTTCTACAGTTGGCCAGACTGTGATGCTCTCCTTTACAATAAGCACAGGGTTTGCTGTTTGCATCAGTGGGAGTGTATGATAACTTTTGATTGGGTAAAATGCTTATTTTACTGTCTTTCTCAGAAGAAGAAACAACCGCTGTACTGAAGACTTTTTTGGCTTTGGTGGATCTGGGGCACTTGATTTGGATCTCTGGTTAGCTTTATCATTAACACTAATGCTTGTGTCTTTGAGATTTCCATAAAGCGGATATACCATGTACTTGGCTTGTTTTGAAACAAAGTCCACACAATCTTTAAACTTCACTCGCTTTTTTGTTTTCTCTTGCAAATCACAAGCAAACTTTCTCCAGGCTTCTTTCAACTTATAAGGAAGCTTGGTTACATGCAACTTAATGTTGGCAGTGTTGTCCAGATCTTCTAAATATGTGTTGCTTGACATGGCATTACAACATCCAGCCAAAAACAATAAAAAAAGACTGTAGCGAAGCACCATCTTCTGGTTTAATTATTGGCCAGTTCATTACTTCCTTCATGTAGGCTTCTGCAATCTTATATTCATCTCCAAAAAATTCTTTCAGTAAGGCCTTTGCCTTAACATAACCAGCTGTTGGCTCCATATGAATACAGCTCTTTACCAAATCATGAGGCTGGTCACTGGTGTATTGCAACAGAAACTGTAGTCTGTCACATGCATCACTTGTGCGGCCCTCTAAACTGTGTTCAATAGATCTTATAAAGGTCCAGTACTGCAGAGGGTCACCGTTAAAGGTGGAGATTTTTAATTCAGGGAGCAGAGTGGCTTTATGATTTTTCACCAAATAGTCTGTGACACTGGCTTGCTGGTTTAAGGCTTTGCACAAACTGTCAAAAGCTGGTCCCTCGGCTAGCTCCATATTGAGAGCAGTAGAAGCTCTTGGTGGTATCAATGGCATTTGCATGTTGTGTTTGTGACTGGGTCCGGGTGAGACCTGCTGTGATGATGACTGAAAGGTGGTTGAATAAACCATTGCTGAACCAAATACAAGTGCATTTTTGTGAACAAGTCCTTGCTGTGAGCCAGACTACATAAGGCTAGTCCTATGTTAAGTCTCTTTTATTTAGGCCTATTGTTTTTGATTGTCTTACAGTTCCTGTTTTAAATGTTCTTTAGAAAGTAAGGTTTATTGATCATTGAGAGGATGTATTTGCATTTTTATTCCATGGTCATTATATTAGTTGAAATTGGTCTCAAAATGTCAATATTATTGTTTATCGCAATAAATTCTTGGTCAATTAATCATCCTGCAAAATTTGTTATCGTTACAGGCCTATGTCTTACGTAGACAAAATTTATTTTAAAAAACAGACTTCTGGGTTTAACCAACAAAAGTACAAATAGACAAAAAATAAGTAACTCAAAGCAAAACACCAAATACCTGCACAGAAGTCTCCCTAATTGATGACACCTGCTTGCCTTTTATACTCCGCTCACAGGAAGCACCTCCCCCAGGTGAGTAACAATTCCAGGTAAAGCAAAGCAAAAGGTGTCTTTCCAAAATCAAAATGTTTAACATAAACTAAGGTGAATTTAAAATAAGACAAAGGCCCACTTTGTCACAAAGGTACAGAACATATCAGAATATTTAAGCACAGCACTGACAAAATCAGACATGCTGTCTGTAGCTAATAATAAATTAAGAGGTGAAAGCAGCGCTCTGATTGGTTGTGCCCCAGTTTCCCTTCAAGTTAATACACATGGATATTAATGTGATAAAGCTTTGTGAAAGCTAGGGATGAGTTAGAGAAATACATCCCCTTCCTCCTTCTGTGGGGTGATAAAGAGGTACGCAGCTATAGTGTTTACTTGGATCTCCTGCATGAGCTTGCCGACTTTCTGGATAGAGGATTCTTTAATCTTTAGAAGCTTTGATTGTTGCATGAGTTTTTTCTTCATTTGACCAATGACAGTACCTTCTTCTCAAAAGAGATCAGATCCATACAGCTCCCAGTCTCACCAGGTGAGACTAAAGGTTGGTGAAAGCTAGGGATGAGTTAGAGAAATACATCCCCTTCCTCCTTCTGTGGGGTGATAAACAGGTACGCAGCTATAGTGTTTACCTGGATCTCCTGCATGAGCTTGCCGACTTTCTGGACAGAGGATTCTTTAAGTTTTAGAAGCTTTGACTGTTCCATTAGCTTTCTTCTTCATTTCTCCAAGTTGCCCTTCCAGCTCCTGCAGCCTCTTCCTGCGCTGTTCACTAAGTCTACACAAAGACACAAGATAAGACCCACTGATCCCAAATTAATGTAAAAATATATATTATCCTTCATACTTGGCCTGGTTTGTGTCTTTCTTTGCAGACTGCAGAGCTAAAAGAAGGTTCTCTTTCTCCTTTTGCAGAGAGTCCACAGCTGTTTGGAGTTCCTGTACATTTTTCTGTGAAGAAATTTAAAAGGCATTAATAATCCCCCCTTCTATAACTCAGAATACATCTTTATAAATCTTACAGAACATGAAGAGACCTTACCTGGTGCTCTGACTGCATTGGCTCCAGCTGACTGTCATTCTGGCACATTTTCTTCACAAATGCTTCCTTTAAGCTCAACACCTTGTTAAGTTCGATCAGTTCCTTTGATAGCTGGGCCTGCCGCAATGCATGATGGGCGGTATAGGCCTCTGGGGATTCTTTACCAGCACTGGCTGCAGTATCCTATTAAATCCAAGTTCAAACAGTTACTATAGTCTTGATACCAGATATAGACTAAATAATTTAAATAAAACCAACAGAAGAATCAGGGCAGAGTATTTGAAAACACAAATGAACTATACATACAGCAGGGGAAGCACTTGCAGAGTTGTGGCTCCCGTTTGCTGATGTCTCCTGTACATCCTCTGCTGCCATCGCGTCAATAGAAGCAGCCATCTCTGCACTTTCAGTCTTAAAGAGCAAGAATATAATATAAAAGCCTCGTGTATTGTTAGAGATCTATGATGCCACCTTGTTAACCATAAAACAAACATCCGCAGACCTTTAGTTCCAGTATGATGTCTTGGAGGTTTTTCATTATTTCTACATTCTCCTTCAGCTCCTGGTCTTCCAGATTAACCAACAGTTTCTCCAGGTCTACAGCACATCTGAAAAAGGGTTGTATAATATATGTTTTGTTTGTAAATGCTGACGCAGCATTTATTAGACTTACGCTTCATGTCGCTGTAGTTGTTCCAGTTTGTTCAGCAGTTTCTCATTTGTTTGTTCTGTCTACAATAATTTACACAAAAGATAAAAACTCTTTATACGACAAAAACAATCTCATAATATCCAATATAACAAGAAGAATATATTTTAGCTAGTGTGAATTTTTAGTTTGTGCACATGTACAACTAGTATATTACTTAATTTAACAAGTTCTCAGTGGCTTTTTTAGAGCATAAATTTTGTTTTTTTGGTTACCATAATGATCTTCTCAAACATGAGGGCGGTTTGTCCGGCTGCCTCACTCAGCTCACGGCTCAGCTTATTGTTCTCCTCCTGCAAAGTGCGGTTTCTCTCCAAGAGCTTGGTCACTTTCTCTGTGGACTCCACCCTGGGATACACAAACAGTTGGACTATTGAGGCCTTTTGTTATAGTGATTATTGTATAAGGGGTGAAATGCAATTTTCACAAGACAAGATTTTGACATAAGGTAAATGTAAAAACACGGGAGAGATAAAAAACACAAATTTTGTGGTTTGTATGCATTTGTTTATACTGTCCAAACCGCTTACCCAGACAGCACTGGTGCTACTCCTCCACGGGCATGAAGTAGCATCACCTGCAGTTCTTGGACCTAAAAAGATTAAAACAGACATTTAAAAAAAGCTTTTTTGCCCATTGCAGTATACAGCTCCTAATTGTGTACCTGCTTCTTGAGTCTGTTCATCTCAGC